GGTCCTTGCCCCTGGGAAATCATGTCTTAAGTAGGAATTTATACTCAAAGGACTTTCAACATGCTCTTTCTATTTTTGAGTAGTTTGTCAAAGAAGCAGGTCAAACTGGGGGCAAATGCAACTTGGGCCACAGAAAGATGCAGAAAATGTAGAGAGGAAAGGCTACAATAAGGAGCATGTGTTCACGTGAATTAGCGACTGACACTACAATGAATGAGTTTCTTCTGTGTCACGTACATATGATTAAGGCACTTAGTAAGGAAGTTTTATTTCTAAAATGTTGATTTAAAAACTGGAAACCAGAAATACCACAAAACAGAAGTTATAGCCCAAAGCAAGGAACCTCTTAAAAGGTTTTTAAACAATACATTCATATATAACTGTCTTGATAAGTCTTTTAAAATAAACTTATTTCTGGATGCTCAGGCACTCATCCAAGTGAACATTGGACCAACCATAACAGATAGAATTAAAAAAGAAAAAGAACACATTTTCATGTGTAATTTTTGCAGCATCATCTGTGATTTAGAGGAAGGGAATCATTAAGGCTGATGTGTTGGATTCTAATATAACCAACAGGGTTTTTTGTTATCTTTTTAGCTTTAACATTAATCACACTAACCATTGCAAGGCTCGATTCCAGTGATGTGGAAGACACAAAAGCAAATCTGCAAACTTTTAAAATAATATACATAACCCAATATTTATTGTTTCAAATTCATATAGGTATTCCTTTCAGTGTATTAAATGGTGAATGTACTTTAAAGTAGATGGGCAATTTTCATTTAAAAAATGACGAGTATCAAAAATAAGAATTTAAGTATATCACTTTCTTAGATATTAGGCAGGCACACTATGTCTTGAGCCACTCCACCAGCCCCCACTTTCTTAGATATTAGAATAATGCATTTAGGCTTATAATTTTACTTGTTATAGTAAAACAGTAATAAAAAGGAAAAAAACCTTTCTTTAAGGAGAGTGCATAGTTTTTAACTTGTTTTAAGAAAACAAGTTAAGTTATTACTTTAAAAAAACCCTGAGACACTTGAGGTCAATTATTACTTTCACTGAACAGAAAAAGAAGTTGCAATCGCTGATTCCTATTTTCTAATCAGCAGACCTAAACTCTAGTAAGAGTACTTAATCATCTATGGACTGGCCATTTCATTAATTTCAACTGTGTTCATGATCACTGCAGCTGAACCTTGATTATTTAAAGGATACAGGTGGAATCTGTTTGGGACCTGGTACAATACTGATCAAACGATTTAGAATTCTGGGGAGTAGACAGAATTGTTAAACATTAAATTCAGCCTTTTACCCCAAGCAAGAATTCTCAGTACAAAATGTTAGTAATAATAGCTGATGGCTGCTGCACACATTTTCCAAAGAGCTTGCTTGGATAATCTCCCCAGTCACCTTGCTAATTTCTGGGACTTTCATTGGCTTCTAGTTTTCTGTTCCTTCTTCAACCCCAATGCTAAGTTCAGCCAATACCTTCATACCAAATATTCTCTAGAATTTACAAAAATCAAAGTGGGTTAAAGAGAGGAACTAAGGCCTTCCACCAGTTCACCCTGCTTCCTGACTGTGTTATTCAGCTTTCTGTTGCTGTGACAAAATACCTGGGAGAATTAATTTATTTGGAGAAAAGGCTTATTTGGGCTTATAGTTTCAATCAATGGTCTTTGTCAATGGTCAGTTGTGCTTTTGGGGCCTGAGGTAATGTTACTAGAAAGATTAGCACTGGTGGACACCTTGGTTCTTGTGTCTGGTAAAAAAAGAATTCAGGCAAGACACAAAAATACAGTGAAATTGATAAGAAGGTTTATTAGGAAAGGAGTATACTTTCAATAGACTGAAAGCAGGCCTTTTCTAGAGTGAGGTCTTTGGTATCAGCATTTGGATCTGGAATATTTATTGAGAAATTCTGGCCTGGGTCCATTTGCCCCTTCTTGTAGAGGGTCTTTTTCTTAAGTTAAAGAGTTACCTGTGTGAAACTTCCAGCTTCAGGCCTAGCTGATATTTAGAGTGTGGCTTACTCTTGAGTAAAGAAAGGATTAAGCTTTAAGTGAGTGACTGACTTTAAAGTATCCAGGGATATCCCCTGGTGTCCATGGGCTGTGCTACATCTGTGGATTTGGGAAGTTTAATTACAAATTATTTTCTCCGCTTGGGGCCACCACTTATGTCTAACTGCTACTTATCAGTGAGACAGAACATCGCAGCAGGACTGCATGGTGAAAAAATCCTGCTCACCTCATGGTAGTCAGAAAGTAGAGAGAGGAGGGGCTGGAGTTCCAAGGTCCCCTTGAAGAGCACACCCCATGACCCAGTTTTCTTCTACTATGTCCTACCTCTTAAAGGTTCCATCCTCTCCCAATAACACAAGCTGCTGATCAAGGTTTTAAAATATGGACTTTGGGGGACATTCCAGATCCAAACTATAACACCCAACCTTCTACTTCCCATGAGGAGAGTCTCTTTCCGCCAGCCCCAGGCACACTCTGCAGCTCAGAGTCTCTGCCTCTATATTCAGAGGGCAGACACACTGAGAAATGTTCTCAAGAAAATCTGGCATCACTCTACAAGGAATTCTCTTAACAATAAAATTTAATACATCTTAATAAATGTATGTAGAAATGCAAATTCATTCAATAAAAAAACAGGTATGAAGTACTTGCAGTCTTTCATATATGATCCTGAGTTTTGTAGAAATAAGAGGACAAATCAGAGAGAAAAACAGCCTATAAAGAACCCACAGCTTAGTTGTTTGATGTGTTGAAACATAAGTGAAGTGACTATAATAAAGTGTTTTGAGAGATAAAGAGCAATGGAAATTCAGAGGACAGAGCTTCCATGCAAATGAGAAGAATTGAGAAAGACCTCCTGGAAAAGGCGTCTTATTATATGGACTTTGAAGGGGATGGTGAGATCAGACATGCAGAAGTAGAGACAGCCATGTGAATAAGGACAAAGTGCAGGTGGGTGTGGAGAGGTACAGCAAGTATTTCCACCTGCCTGGCCAGGAAAGTGTGCTAGAAAAACTGTGTGTGGGGGAATGTTGTAAACTTGGGGCCAGAGAACAAATTTTTGAGAGTCATCGTAAGGAATTTAGACATTGTCTTCTCCTCTATAAACAGTGACAAGACTATAAAGAATGTTAAGTCACGATAAAACCTTTATTTCTAACTCATTTTTTTGTTGCTTTTGAGCTTGGTTTTTAACTTTTTAAAATTATTATTATTGTTGCACTGGAGTTACATTGCAACACTTACCAAACTTCTTACATTATATCACAGTTGAATTCACCCCCTCCATCATTCTCCTTTATCTCACCTCTTGCATTCATGGAATAGTTTCAACAGGTTTCATTTTTTCATTTTCATGCATGAGTACATAGTGTTTACACCCCATTCATGCTCCCTTTCCTTCTATCCTCTCCCCTCCCACTGGTACCAATCCCCCAGATGGGACCTGTTTTACCCTCCCATTTTCCGTTTTTGAAAAAAAGACATTTTTATTTGTTTAAGATAGCAATATAGGGAGTTTCATTGTGACATATATTATAATATAATATATGTATTATAACCCTAATTCGTTCATCCCCTCTACTTTTCTCCTTTCTGCCTTGGTCCCTTTCAACAGGTTTAAAATTGCTATATTCATTCTTGACTAGAATGTGCATCAACCATATTCTCCTTCTTTTACCCTCCTTTTCTGCTAGTGGCTTTTTTAAAAATTTGTTTTTACATTATATTATTCTGTCTCACTTTAATAATGCATTTGTAATTACAAAGTTACTTGAGCCTAAACACACCATTTGCTAAGCTTTATTTGGTCTAATACTGTGTTTTCAACAAATAAGTAATTGTATCAATTACATAAACACAATATTCATCATTTTGTTTTTTTTATATTTTCACGTTTCTTTCTTTTTATTTTCCAGAATATCTTTTAGAGTTCCTTTCAAAGGGGGTTTGTTAGTATTTAAGTTTTACTGTGTACATTTGACTTTATTAAGCATATCTTAATTATTTTCTTTGTCATTTCATTCCCCTTTTAAAATTTTAATTTAAACATTGCAGAAAGTAATAGTGACAACATAGCTTCCCTTAAGACTGCTAGAACACCAGACTCTGCCTGACTTTGTTCCATTAATAAATGGAAGTTCCCTGTACTCTGGACTCGCACACTTTATCATTGGGTAGAGAGTGTTGGGTTTACTGATTCATATATAAAGATTTAAATTATAATTGTAAGGTCGTGTTCTGCTTTATTTCCCCTGGGGTATAGAGTGCAAATTTTCATATAAAATTAATGTTATATCTTCCTTACTCTCATGGAAGTCACTTTTCTAAGATAAATTTGATGATTTCAAGTGCATATGGGTAATTTGGACTCAATTATTTTAATTATGCATGATACAGTGAATACATTCAGTTATGACTGCATGCACTCATAATAACTGACAATGTCAATGCACTTTGTTTTAATGATCATTGGGAATTACTAAATCCATGTTCAAGGTACAGTATAAAAATGTAAGATGCTATTCAAATGGAGTAATTAGAGGAGAAGATAATTCTGGTGTGTAAGAAATACAATTATGAGATATTTAAAAAGAAATTATGGTTTTATAATTTCTAACATAAGGGAAATAGGTTTCACATTTATTTCTTAGTTATTAGTAATAAAACAGGCAAGGAGGAATATCACCATACAAAGCAATTTCCTTGCAGGTACTGAAGTGTTACTTTAAGAATGAAGGTGGACAACAGTATCCTTTTGTTACACACTGGATGTATACACCCACAGCTCAAAGGTTTAAAGTGGTAGTATCTGTGGAATTTCTCTAATAGGATGTATAACCTGACAGCCAGAAAAGCTTCTCATTAAGTTCTTCACATTCCATTCTTATTTATTATGTTCATTTAGATGCATTTGTTAATTTATAAGTTCAGTTAATTAAAATTTTTAAATTTTCTTTTTTTTTAAAGGAGCCCGCCACATGAAAAAAATGCAAGTCAAAGTGGTCACAACCTAGAAGTCTGCAGAGACAGGAATAACTAGCAAGTAGATACTATGTTATTTTACTATGCTTAAGTATAAAGAATTCAGTAGTGTTCTGGGAATTCACTCAATAACAGACAAATAGTCTTGTAATTTTAAATTTATACTTAGCAACATTTGTGCTAATTTATATTACACCACAAAAATAATTAGGATGAAAAATGGTAACTATGAATTTTAGGAAACTCATTTTCTGTCAGTAATAATGATATTATTTTTGGTCATAAATATAAGTTTAAATATCGTATCTTCCATCTGGTCTGGTTTTTAGAGCCCTAATTTAACACTTATTCTTTCAAAAAATAAGAAAAGTAAATGATCTCCCTGCCTAGTAACATATCTAACCACTATGTAAATGCATTGATTCCTCTCATAAACCATTAACAGAAATTATTTTATAATCATGCTTTTAAGAAATAAAGTGAAAGCACATTTACTTTTGAAGGTTACATTTCAAAACTTCAAGGTGATATTAAATGAAATCCAGGCATAAAATAGAAATTTTCCATTTATCAGTACTCTCTGACATTTCAAGAAATAAAATTGGAGATTTAATGATAAAACCATGCAACATTTCAATGAATGAATAAAAAATGGATTAAAAATGTGGAAAGGGTAAATAAGATAATTTAAATGGCAAGGAGAATATTTGAAAATCTCATTGCTCCATATTACTGTGGTTGGAGTTTATTCTCTCCTTAAATGTACCTTGAAGATTGTAATAGAATCATAAAATGTTTAAGCTAAAAGCATTTTAAGAAGCATTAATCTCAAATATTTCACTGTAAAAAGGAACTAAGTTTGAAATTAGAAACAAATTTTATATTTTACAATTACGTATGTATATATACATACATAAACATATATACATTTTAAAGATAAAAATGCAGTTAGCTCTTAATGAGTTTTTTCAATGATAATCAATGACAAAAATATATTTGCAAACAGGTGTATAAGAAATGATGGTGGTACTTGAAGTGAAAATAGTTTATAAATTATGTAGAAATATTTTATGTTTAAAATCCAGAGTAATATTTCTGTGAAACTATAGAAAATATGTAAAATTGTGTTTCAGTTTCTTAACAGTACAGATTCCTAAAAAATTGTGTAAGCCAACAGTAGTTTCTCCTTTTTCAATGTTCTTTTAAGACTTTATGAAAGACAAATCATGGATGACAAATACTTCATGTATAAAATCTATCAAATATTTACACAGTTGGAGCCCCACATATTGATATGAAGAATATTTAACACTAACTAACTTAGTGAAGATAAAAATATTTTATAATGTAAATGATTAGCCCTAATGCATTTGGTTTATACATTTAGAATTTTTATCGACTGTCATAAAGTGACACCTGTGTATAGTTAAGAGAGGGTGGAAAGGAAAATATCTTCAAAACTCAAAGATTTTCAAATAGATCAGTTGGGCTACTCTCATATTGAAGAAGAGAAAATTGTGAAAACATATCTCAGTATTAGTTCAGAAGGAAATCACAAAGTACATAAATTGAAAGGCATTGAGGAACTTAAAAGCAGAGTTCATAATAAAAAGAAAGAAAGAGAAAATATATTGGTGCCAGTAAACTGTTGGGAGGGAGTCTGATCTCATACAAACGGGTAACTGATACTTGAAATAATCTTGGTGGAAATTTCAAGAGTCCAGCTAAAGTGGTGGCAGTGGAGATAGAGATGACCTTTATTTGAAGGACATAACTTCTTCACCAGGTTCCCTAAGAACATAGTCTGAATGGCTGAAAAGTGAAGAATCACAAACTTTAAATAGAGGATAAAAATTGGTATTTTAGTAAGAAAGATGAAATGCTAGTTGGTAGTGCCTCTAATACATAGCAAAAACAAGGGTGATCATAGGGGTGCTGGAAAAACAGAACAGAAGCTCTAGGATTGAAAGACATACAAGATGAATTATCTGGTTAGAGATAATGCTTGAAGCTACCAGAATTTAATCAGACAAAAAAAAAAGCTTATATGCAGTGAAAGGGGAAATTACTCAGGAAGATATTTGAGGATCATCAGTATTCGATCATAAAAAATCTGTTTGAAACAAGAGGAATCAACCACAGAAATGAGAAGAGTCTGAAATAATAGGAAAACTGACTTCCAGTGGCTTTTTTTGTTGTTGCTACTATAAGAAACCAAAGAAGCAGTAAGATTCTAAAGGTCAATAGTACTAAATGCTGTTGAAGAGTCCAGGGGGAGGATGACTGAAAAAGTGTAATCTTTTGGACACATTAATTAGACTATGATTGGGAAACCCAATGGAGCCATCAAACTTGGAAAGCTAGATACTCTTATGAATCCCTTACAATATTGTGCCACCATTCTTTCCTTTATCTCCTTCATTTGTTTATCCCAATGGTAGAGTTATGTTTTTAGGATTTATCTGTGAGCAGTTTATTTTTTAATCAGATTTGCTTTTTTCTCAGAATATCATTATTTTAAATATTGTGAAACTTCCCAAAATTTGGATAGCTAATTCATTTAATGTACACTAGTAAAAGAAGTCATATTTGTGGGTAATCCTATCAAAAATACACGACTTCTTATTTTTCCATTTGTTAATCTCAAAGATTTCCCACATTAGACTGACAAATGTTCTATTTGCCTCGCAAATAATAATTTCAAGCAGTCCCTAGCCAATAGTAGGTATACTTGCCAGAAATTTTAGAAAGAAAAAGAAGAAAGAAAGTGAGAGAGAGAGAGAGGAAGGAAGGAAGGAAGGAAGGAAGGAAGGAAGGAAGGAAGGAAGGAAGGAAGGAAGGAAGGAAGGAAGGAAGGAAGGAAGGAAAGAATTACTATCTTCCTTCCCTTGGATAGTTCTCACAATTTCTAAAGTACTACTACTTCCTGCTTGAAGAAAATACACTCAGTATATTTTGACTATTTCTTAATTCTCAAAAAAAATAGAATGAAGAGGAAAATAAGATTATGAAACATAAAATGTTTCATAAGTGTGAGGCCCTGAGCTCAAACTCCAGTACTGCCAAAAAAAAAAGGAATCAACTACTGACACAAACAACAAAATGAACAAATCTCAAAAGCATTATGATAAGTAAAAGAATCCAAATGCAAAAAACTACATACTTAACTTACATTATATTCTACAAAAGACAAGACCATAGCTACTATACTAAGATCAGTAGTTGGCAAGGACTATGGTAGGGGAAGAAGATTGACCACAAAAAGTATGAGGGACATTTTTAGGATGACCAACCAAATATTCTACTTCTTGATTGAGGTAGTCAATACTTAATTACTATATATGTTTGTTAAAAATATCAAACTTTAAACCTAAAGTATGCCTCAAAATATATATTATTAAGAAAAAATAATAAAATTTTTGTTCTGAGAATTTATATTCACGGGAAAATTTGGTAGGAAATACAGAAAAGTACGACTTGACCTCACACATGCACACAAAAGCATTATGTTTGTTACCATCAATGAACCTCTCTTGATATGTTGCTATCACCCAAAGTCCATAGTTTACATTAGAATTCAGTCCTGGTGCTGGATATTCTATGGGTTTTGATAAGTATAGAACGACATGTACTCACCATTTTAATTATAGCATCAGACAGAATAGTTTTCACAGGTTTAAAGATCCTCTGTACTTCATTCCAGTTAGTCTCTGGCAACCATTTATCCTTTTTACTTTCTTCACAGTTTTCTATTTTCCAGGAGGTCATGTATTTGAAATCAAATAGTAGGTAACCTTTTAAGATTGGTTTCTTTCACTTAGCAGTGTGCATTTAAATAACTTCCATTTCTTTTCATGGATTAATAACTCTTTTAGTATTTTTAGCACTAAAAATATTGTCACTGTATAGATATACCACTGTCTTAAGTATCCTTTCAAGAAATATTGATTTTAATGGCTGTTTTAGATTCTGCTTCTGGGTAACTTTTATTAATCAACTTACCATAATTTGTTGTCACCAACTTTGACACCTAAAGTACTAAATATATAAGCTAATTTGAATATATCCTTATTTATTTACTATTGTTTCCAAAGTGATATGTACCCAGGTACAAACTTGTTGAGACATATGTACTTTTTAAAAGAAATTAAAATTTTTAAATTATTTTGTTGAGCTAAAGTATACACAAGTTAAAACTTACCATTTTAACCATTTTAAGTATACATACAGTTCAGCGACATTAAGTGCATTCACATTTCTAGGCAAAAAGTCATTTTAATGCTAATAGTTCAAAAATCTAAACTTTGTAAATTATATCAACTAAAAATGTCTGTTCCAACTCTATTCTCAACTAACCAATTTCCCAATCTAGAGGAAGATAACTAGTGTTAGGAGTTTCTGATATAAATTTCCAGAAATAATTTTATGTGCACAAGAGTATGTACACACACATGTATTTTTCCATTTCCATAGAAATCACAGCATATTTAGATATTCATTAATACCTTGCTTTTCTGTGAGTAGAAAATATTGCACATGACTTCATATGTGCTCACAAAAAAAGTTTATTATTTTATTATTTTTTGTAACTCCTCAATAATACATTTTGTGGCTTTATATCACTCCAGTCTTTTGTTATCATAAGCAGTACTGCTCTAAATGACCATATAAATCATTGTTTTGAATCTATGCAACTGTATCACAGGAGAAATGGAATTGCTGCGTATAATGGTATACCATTTTGTAATTTTGGTAGATTTTATAAAATTGCCATGCTCCATTTTACCACTGTCCATCAGGTTGTGAATATGACTTTCTAAACTTAATGGAATGGTATAGAACTTAAAAGCTGTGATGGTTGTACATCACAGGGTTATATGTATTCTTACAGTCTTTCTACACTCTTTTTGTGGGATGTATTTTTTCCTGACACTGCTACTCAGAATTATATTGTAATTAGTCTTTTTTTCCTTTTTCTAATTCTGCTGTATATAGAGTAATAACCTGAATTATTTCAAGTTACATTTTCCTGAATATTAGAAGGATATAGCATTGTTTCAT